ACCTATATAATGCATACATTTACACTGCACTATCCAATCACCAAAGTGCTGAGTGCTATATTAAAGGTGTTAGTGCAAAAAATCAATCAATAAATCAATCAATATACTTAATCTTAACAAAAAATTCATAAAGTCAGTGAAAAATGATAAAAAATAAAATAAAATTAGAAAGTCCATTAGAAAGTGTCTATATCTGTGTCCAAATATATTAACCTAAATCGCATATAAAATAGTCCAACTCCTTTTATTTACCATAAAATGCAAAATTATAGTGCTGCGGAGATCTCAAAATTATAGTGAAATTATAGTGAAAATATCACCTAGTATTCTTCACCTATTAAAGTAAAACCCAAAAAATTGCGATAATCTTTTTGGGAAGTTGCCACATACACAAAATGATCTCAGATCAATCAGATCGCATCAATAAGAGACTAATCCAGCCATTAATGTGTCAACTGCACTCCTTAGTTCACTTGTTCTTAATACCTTGGGGTCATCATCATATCAAACAGCTCACAGAAATAGAAGGGACACTCCACATAGTGTAAAACCATTCACGTTTATTCTTCAAAGCCAGCATATACACTTACATTTTCACCTGCCATGCCCAACACAAGGGGGTAATAGCGTAATAGATTTTATTGCAGCACCGCCGCTTCAAGTCGTGAACACAGGCTCGAGCCATCATGGGCTAGTGCACGGTGACGTTAAACAAGGCTCTGTCCTACGCGTTTCAACATATGCCATCAGCACGCTGTTTGATATGAAAAGTTAAAAGCTGATTGGCTACCATGCACCAGATTCTGAATGCACCAGTTTCAGTAAATTTCCCCCAAGTTACTATTTTATAAGTTAATAGTTTTAGATTTACATACACTTAAAGAACATTGGGCCACACTTTTATAAAGGTCAACTGTGGATTAAGGTTTCTGAGAATGGAAGGTGTTCTTTTTTTGGGCCACCGTTGTATTTAGATTTACACAGACACAAAAATGATTAGCCCCGGTTTTTTTGTTTCTAAAAATTTCCTGCCAGACCAAAATCTGTGCTCTTGCGCCAGCTTAACATATTAGAATTCTTCAGAGGAATGTTGATCTTTAATGTGACTTTTCACCTTAAAGTTCAGACGGTGTAAATCAAATCACCAATAAACTCCGTACATGCAAATTCTAATAATTGGATGTGGTGTGAGAGAACATCCATCAGAAGCTTGGAAACAACAGAATTAACATATCTAACTATAATATATGAACAAAGACAGCGGCGGGCAAACATTGAGCACAGAGAGAGCCGCTTTATGCAGATACAGCACAGACAAGTTATAACCTTCATTAACAGCGCCGATGACATTTTAATTCTTTTTATGTAAACACTTGTTCAGGGATCAAAACATATAACTTCATTAATATGCAAGCCTCTCTGAATGGTAAAGGATGCGCATCGGCAAAAGGCCGCACGGCATATGTGACTGGAATATGATGACACGGGATCGCTGCGCCCAATTAACCCCAATCATTTCTGGCTTCAGGCCACTTTACTCAAACCTGAACTTTATACCATAGAAATTGGAAATATATTAAATAAAATACTGATTCTCCTGTCCACAACAATTAGGGATTTACCTTGTTGTCAAATTACATGAGAGTTTAATTCTTGTTGTAACTTTCTATCCACATAAAAAAATGACACAAAGGTTCTCGAAATGCACTGCTATCCTGAGGATGCTGTGAGCTGAACTGTAACTTGCAATAACATAACTGTGCAATGTTAAGAAAAGCAAGGCCAAACACTGTCCGAGTTAACCTGGTAATACTGCTGTGAAAATTGGCTTCAGCTCAATCTCCTCCCTTTTACTATGCAACACCCTATATGAGTGAAATGCGTTAGCGATGCGTGGCAGAAGTGAAGAGATTGAGCTGAAGCCCATTCTCACAGCAATATGGCCCCTTGCACACGGGTATCATAATTTATTGATGTTTACTCAGGAACTTGTGACGCTCATGTGCAAGGGGCCAAACACTGTGTGTAAAGACCTGAGTAATGTTGAGTATAGGTGAGTAAAGGTGTGTAAGCGTATAGACAGGTGTAGATGAGTAAAATTCTTCTTTATTGCCAGTATTGTAATATACTAATTTATACTCACGTTCCTCAGCTACGCTTCTGTTTAATCCCAACCTGTGACCACTTACCGACCTTTGGCTTGTTTACTGACTATGCTTCTGCCTATCCCTACCTGCTATATCGGCTTCTGGACCCTGGATTGTTCATCTCCTGGTGGGGCAATCCTGAGGACTGCAACCTTGTACTAATAGGCAGCAAAAACCCATCTCCACCATCAGGAGCTCTGGTGAATGCCAGTTAGTGCTAAGACTCCGCACCTCGGGGGAGCCCACGCCATCATCCAGGGTGACCTGCTGCTGCACTTATCCAGCTGTTCAGTGGGAGCCTCTCTACTGGTATACCTACTGGTCCTGAGCCTGACCCCTGACCATGACAATTACCAGGTTAACTCGGACAGTATGCAGCCCTGTTTTTGTTTTACATTGGATCTTTTTGAGTCAGAGGTGCTCACCTTATGAGCCAGCACCTGGCAGCAAGGACTGAGCAGGCAGGTGGTATGTACCAGACTTTAGAGCAGTGCTCCTGTTTGGTTAAGATTCTGTACAAATAAAAGTGCAACCATAATAATAAAGAAATTAAAAAATGCTAGAAAGTAGAGTTTTTGGTAGAAGAGACTTTCTGCTAGCAATTTTTTTTGTATGTACGCTGCCTGCTGTGCATGTGCAGTGTTGGTGTACGTCCTATTTCACATCTGTAAGATGTTGAGACTGGAGCTTGATGCTGGGACATTGTAACCCCAGTGGGCATGCGCAAGAATGTCATCAGTGGCCATCAGAAGACGCTGGTCCAGAAGAAGTCTAGGAGCAGATGGTGGCAACAGTGACAATGTGTGTGGATCTGTCAGTGCTGGATAAGAGTAGACTGGGAGGTAAGTCTGCCATAAAGTGCACATATGCTATGTATGTGCCTGTTACCTTGTTAACCTCTTGCTACCCATGTAACACATATGTGCTAGCAAGGAGGGTGAGCTTTGAAGACCACCTGGCGCACGTAACCGTCCATGGGCAGCTGAGGTTTCTGTGCTCCCGGCAATAGACAGCTCTGGGCCACTAGCCCTGCTGGCTTCAAAATCATATGACTGCTGTGACAAACAATCACAGTGGTCATGTGATTGGGAAGTCTGTTCTGTACCTGGACATAAAGAGCCCACTTAAAGGGATACTGGGGCCGGACAGGAAGTGAAAAAAAAAACAGATCTGTAGGCAGAAACATTAGGTGATAGAACTATGTTTTTCAACTGGAATTTTCAGATTTTACACGTTTTCAGTACTTTTCTCCTTTAAGAGCTTTCAGTATAAGCGCAGCCAGTCTATCCCAGCTGCATCTATATATTCTAATATGACACATCACATAGTTGTCTCTCACCATGGATCAAAACACCCACACTCATTTATAGCACATCTGAAATGTATATAAAATTATTTGTCATAGCAACACACATGGAAAAAGTACATCATCTATAATTTAGGTGCAGATCTGCGTCAGCTTGCAAGGTACGGAGCAATCAAAACACAGCATAAGAGGAAGCTGAAGGATCGTCTATACAGCAAAGTGTTCAGAAGCATAAATGATGTACCCTTAAAGAAGAACTATATTCTAACATCATTATAAAATATGATATTGCAATTATCAGTCAGTTCAATGCATGGCATGTGCTTTGGGGTGCGCAGCAGTGCAGATACATTGCCTGCTACTACATTGAGTGCATTCAGAATGAATGGTACCCCTATAAACTGTAATGCGGTTAAGCAGTCACATGCAGTAACCAATACAAAGATGTGAATTAGCCCTTAAAGTGGTTCTAAACGCATAAGGTTTTTATTACCTTAATGCATTCTATACATAAAGCCCCCCCCCCCCCATACTTACCTGAGCTCGATTTCGATCCAGTGCTATGCCCGAGAGCAGCATTGCTGCTCTTTCCTCCCCTATGGCTCCCACTGCTGTCAATCGCAGCCAGTGAGGAGGGAATAGGGGGTGGGACCAAGCAATGCTGTGTGTGTCAATGGACACACACAGCATGGCTCGGGATTGAGCCTACATGAGTACCTCCATAACAAGCAGCTTGCTATGGGAGGCACTCAGCAGGGTAGAGGAGCCAGGAGAGCGAGTGGGGAACCCCAGAAGGGGTGGATCAGGGCTGCTCTGTGCAAAACTTTTAAAAACATTTTCGCCCTTTACAATCATATCTGGTGGGGAAAGTATTGCATAAACGAATATACGTCAACCTTGGGCATAGCAGTATTTCATTCAGGAATAGAAATCTATGGCAGAGTCTTCATCTGATTACTGGATGGGAGTCTTTTTTAAGGCCTTTTAAGGATCTTATGAAAGGAAGACTAAATCTTATCCTGGGGAGGATTGTCAGCTTCATAATCTGCACTACTGTTCCCTCTTTAGGGCTGCGTTTATTGACTGGTGTGTTTCGGTCAGAATGTCCGGTAAGGGGCTTATTCATTCAGGTGCCTTGGTTATGGTGGATAGTGCCGAACTCCTCTTTGTGCAATTTATCCAAACCTTTTTTTGATTATTTGGACTTTATGATTATTTATTGTGATATAGATTAGTGCCGCATTTTTAATTGTTTATAAATAAAAAAAAAAAACCTAACAAATAAAATAAAATACAGGATGTTCCATATAAAGGCATAGCAAAAAGTGTGAGACAATAAGACAGTGTGTGTGAGTTCACGGGGGCAAGATATACTTTATTACAGTACAGCATAGATCAGTGAAAGCATAGGATTGGTATCTATGAGTTATAAGATTGTCTGAAACACAAAGACAAAATGGTGAATGGAAAAAAAAATACCCTGGTGGATAAGGGGCAGTAATTTCACACATTAAATCATGCTATGAAAATATGCATACCTGTTCAGAGAACTCATTGAAAGGAATTATAGGGCCGTTGTGGAATAAAGGGTAATAAAATACATAGGCCAGCAGCGATGGAAAGCTGTAGCATCTGCTGTCACCTCCCGGATGCCAACTGTATTCGAGGCAGAAGCTGGTGTAAAAAAGGCAGCGTACAGTGAGAGTGAACTGCAGGAGGTAATACTCATTCTCGGTTCCATACCAACCACGCTGCAAAACAAAAGAGGATGGTATTAGTTTCAAGTGCTATTGGCTTCACTGTCAATGTGAAGTGTCGCAAACGTGCGCAACAGAGACTGACGCAGACTCCATCTTGCTAAGGGTATCCATTTCTCCCTTATCCTTCCCCTACCCCTCCCTCTCACTGAGAGGAGACATCTGGCCAGTGTGTGTGTGTGTGTGTGTGTGTGTGTGTACTGTTTATGGATCACTGGCCGGCCAAGGCATCTCTAGCTAGGTGCCGAGCTGTCTGTGGAAGCTGTATCCTTTCTCACCTAGGAAGAGATAAGGCAGCTTTCCCAAGAGAGTTGGAGTCTCAATGACCAAAGTACCTATGTAATTTCACACCTCGTAAAAAGATAACGGAGCCTTCCCAAGAGTTGAAAGGGACTCTGAGCTAATAACCTAGCTCAGCGTAGGTGACAGACTTAAACACTTCTCAAATCAATTTTTCCTCTATGTCTCATATCTTGGAATATGAAAGCCTTACATAAAAACCGGACACCTCGTCAGATGGCCAATGAGCAGACGAACAGTTTGATGGGTCACTCGCTTATCTCGGACCATCAGGGAAGCCGAAACATAGAACTCGTGAACCGTGCAGTATATAGTTTCATATCTAAATAATCCTCAGACTTGTCTGCATACTAATATACCTGCGGGGGGACTGCCGTTTGTGCAGATGGAAAGTTATGGACCAGAATATGAGTTATGAAAGATGTTGGCTCCAGTTTAATGTTCCGCCTGACGATCCCTCCCTAAACAGGGGATTGGTCTTTTACTTCAGAACCACCCCCTGCTATAAAACTTTAAAACAGGCTGTCAAGCCTAAGAGTGGAAGTTGAAGACATCTCCCATTTTAACATCAATATAGCACCTGGGGAGACCTGTGCCTTTCGCTCTGAAACGTGATCTGCTTACATCCAAGGCTTAATGGCAAGTAACTTAACCCTTTAACTTCTCCCTGTTATCTCTCTGCTGTGCTGTGCTGTTTTATATATATATATATATATATATATATATATATATATATATATATATATCTTAGTTACATCTTCTCTGTAAATATTTTTATTGCACCTGTTTGACCCTTTTAGTAATAAATCTCTCTTTCTGAAAGTGTTGAACTGTTTCTATAGCTCTTAATTGCAATTTACGAATCCCTGCTTTGAAGAGATGCTACTGTTTGTTTTAACCCTATGTATAACAGGCCTGTATTATGACCGGGTTATGCAGTCGATTATATCAACCATTACAGTGTTATAGCTGGACGTCGAGTTTCCTCTTTCTCTGAATAAAAAGGAGGTGGTGGCAGTGTGAATGGTTAATTGCCTAATTAACCTGACCCAGTAACAATCGATCCAGGCTGCTGGCACGTCGATCTGTATCCATTAGCTGGAAAATCGTTGTGCAGGGTGCAGCTGGGTGTGGCATTGTTACGCACGTCACATCGCAGTTTTAGGTCGGCTAGCCCTTCGGTCACGAGTTTTGGTGACTAGGTCTGGGATCCGACGCCGTGATCGTGACATAATAAACGTCGCGATCGTGGAATCGTCGCATGTTGGTGGCGGCGATCTTGCGCACCGTGACATGAAGCACCAGCCAAAATATTTTTGCTCATTTGAAACATAGTGGGCAAGGGTTTGAACCACTTTCAGGGTTTTCTTGATGTCTGCCAACTCAGATAAGATGATAATAACAATAATAACTCAGATTAGACCGTTGGAACTAGCTGGATTCTTCCATTGAAAGATTTTAATTTCTAGTTGTTAACTTTGAAGAGATTTCTCTTCAATTTTTGTTGTGGTGACAGTGAATCTCCAAAACAGAACACAGAATGCGATAAAAATCTAAATGAGGCTCCAATGCATGTCCTCTTGAACCAAAATAAGAAAACCTTTGGTAAGAGTTCCACTTAAAGGCCTTAAAAACAAAGATGTCAAAATACAGCAAACTACAGGTTTTAAAAATGGCCAATAAACTCTACAAATCAGGGACTTTGAAGTCAAATTTGGTAGATAGGAGGACTGGAGAGGGTCAGCCACCCATATCCTTCAGGACACAATGGAAGCAAGCATTTGAGAGTCAAAAATGTGTACTTCTGTGGCCCTATTGTCATTCCTCATTTCATACTCAAACAGATGTCTCTCTCCGACTTTGACAGCATCCATACAAAACAACAATTCTCTGCTGATAATATAGTCGTATGTGGACACGTCCAACTAACTTGGACATAAGAGTGAGAAAAGCTCAACATATTTAAGGGACCACTGAAGTAGTCACTTTACCCAGTCGTCTACCAAACTGAACTAATCATGAGATGACTTTTCAGTCTGCGCTCACTTAAACATCTAATGCACATGCGTGCAAGTCTAAGCCAAACACTTTACATGCAAACTTCAGTCGTACCACCCACATAGCTAAACATTGGCAACATTTAAGAAATTCATTCCTCAGTAAGAAGTGGGCAAATTCTTATGTACAGTTGCAAGAAAAAGTATGTGAACCCCTTGGGATTACATGGAGTTTTGCATGAATTGGGCATAAAATGTGCTCTGAACATCATCTAAGTCACAACAATAGAAGAACACAGTCTGCTAAACATAATACTACACAAACATTAGATGTTGCCATGGTTTAATTGCACATAACATGTAAACATTCACAGTGCAGGGAGGAAAAAGTATGTGAGGCCCTAGCTTAATGACTTCTCCCAGAGATAATTAGAGCCAGGAGTGAGCCAACCTTGACTCCAGTCAGTGTGATGATATTGGATGTGTTGCTGACAGCTGTCCTGCCCTTAAAAAACACACACCTGTTTTGGGTTTACTGGTTTCAAGAAGCACTGTCTGATGTGAACCATGCCTCGCAGAAAAGAGCTCTCAGAAGACCTACGATCAAGAATTGTTGACTTGCATGAAGCTGGAAAGGGTTACAAAAGTATCTCCAAAAGCCTTGATGTTCATGTGTCCACTGTAAGACAGACAGTCTACAAATGGAGAAAGTTTAGCACTGTTGCTACTCTCCCTAGGCGTGGTCGTCCTGTAAAAATGACTGCAAGAGCACAGCGCAGAATGCTGCATGAGGTAAAGAAGAATCCCAGAGTGTCAGCTAAAGACCTACAGAAATCTCTGGCACATGCTAACATTTTTGTTAACACATCTACAATAAGGAAAACATTAAACAAGAATGGAGTACATGGGAGGACACCACGGAGGAAGCCATTGCTGTCCAAAAAGAATATTGCAGCACGTTTGAAGTTTTCAAAAGAGCACCTGGATGTTTCACAGCACTACTGGCAAAATATACTGTGGACAGATGAAACCAAGATTGAGTTGTTTGGGAAGAACACACAACACTATGTGTGGAGAAAAAAAGGCACAGCACACCAACATCAAAACCTCATCCCCACTGTAAAACATGGCGGAGGGAGCATCATGGTTTGGGGCTGCTTTGCTGCCTCATGGCCTGGACGGATTGTTGTCATTGATGGGAAAATGAATTCCAGAGTTTATCAAGACATTTTGCAGGAAAACGTACGACCATCTGTCCACCAACTGAAGCTCCGCAGAGGATGGGTGATGCAACAGGACAATGACCCAAAGCATACAAGTAATTCAACAAAACAATGGCTGCAACAGCACAGAATACGCCTTCTGGAGTGGCCCAGTCAGAGTCCTGATCTCAATCCGATTGAAATGCTGTGGCAAGACCTTAAGAGAGCGATTCACACCAGACATCCCAAGAATATTGCTACACTGAAACAGTTTTGTGAAGACGAGTGGTCCAAAATGTCTCCAGATCGTTGTGCAGGTCTGATCTGCAACTACAGGAAATGTTTGGTTGAGGTTATTGCTGCCAAAGGAGGAGTCAACCAGTTATTAAGTCCAAAGGTTCACATACTTTTTCCTCCCTGCACTGTGAATGTTTACATGTTATGTGCAATTAAACCATGGCAACATCTAATGTTTGTGTAGTATTATGTTCAGCAGACTGTGTTCTTCTATTGTTGTGACTTAGATGACGTTCAGAGCACATTTTATGCCCAATACGTGCAAAACTCCACGTAATCCCAAGGGGTTCACATTCTTTTTCTTGCAACTGTAGGTAGTCACAAAAACATGTATATCTGGCAAACATACACAATACTATGTTCAGAGGAAACACGACACTGCAAACCAGTAACAAAGCCTCAGCCCAACTGTGAAGCATGGTGGAAGGAATTTAATAGTATGTAGCTACTTTGCTGCATCACTGCCTCAACTTGCAGTAATTGAGAGAGTTATGAATTCTATTATGTACCAGCAAATTCTACAACAGAATGTCAAGGCATCTATTAACAAAAAGAATTTGACTCACACAACATGGAAATGATGAAAGGAGTAAATAAGCTACAAGGACTCATACAGAATAAATTCTGTATTTTAGAGCAGCCAAGACAAAATGTTGACCCCAGTCCTACTATTGAAATGCTGTGTTTTAAGCTGAAATAGGCAGTTAAAGCATATCTAAACCAAAGGACAAAAAAACAAAAACATAATACATTGTAGCATACCAGTCCTTAGACATAGGGGTTGCAGTATTTTTTTTTTAACTAGTGATCCTGCCAACAACATAATACATGTCTTAGAGTGACAATGCTAACTCATGGGACTGTATCTATAGGGAGGAGCAATATTGTTACCTTAGGACAGGGCAACAAAACATCCCTTCTCTTTTACTTATAGAAGGAAGGTGTTCTGTAGTTCGGAGAAATCCAGCAATAATATTAACTGATAATGATGCAGCACAGGAAGCTACAAGCTCATTGTATTTCTGGCAGAATCAACAATTTGTTTTTCATTTACTGAACAGATATGACAAAACACTTTGATTGGTATATTTAACAGACCATAAAGAGCAATTAAGTTCAGTTAGGGTCTTTACACACAGATGAGTAGAACACAGGAAAGATAATCTTTTGTTCAAAACAGTAAATCCAGATTATTGCC